GGATAAAATGCAACCATGCAAAAAGTCTTGGCGGTGCGTATGACATCTAAAGGGAGCTCTAATGTGGAGGACCATGCAGGAGGAGCTAGCTGTGAACACTGCAATGCTCACATTATGACCTCACTTCCAAGCCCAAGCCCCCATTTGCAAGGCTGCTTCTGACTCAAACCAGTATCCCTTCTATTATTCCAGAGAGAGAGGGAAAAGGGTGACTCATCCCCCAGCAATTGCGGTGGAGCTTCTGGCTGGCCCGCACCAGCTGGGGAGAGCAGAGCCCCAAGGTGAAGGGGAAGTAGGAGCCCCCAGGGCCCTGCTGCTGGGCCATCGCCTCTCTGGGTTCATCCTCACCGGGTTCATCCTCACCATCAGTACCAGCCAGGGAGCCCCAGTGAGAGCAGAGCCCCTGCTTCAGGTACAAGAGGCCAGCAAACCTGTCCCCTCAGGGCTCAGGTCTGAAGAAGTTACTTCCCCAGTTCTCACACAAGTGGAGGGTGGGCAAAGACAGCCAGCCAAAGGGTAGCCAGCTACCCTTCCACCTGCCCCTCCAGAGCCGGGAACTTTGGCTTGGAAAAGAAGTTAGCCCCGGCTTCAGAGGCTGTGGGAACAGCAGCACTGCAGACCCAGGAACTGGACACTAGATGTTCAAGCCACCAGCCCGGTTCTCTGAGTGATGGGGCGCCTTCTGAGTACTCAGATCCAGTTTCAGAATAACAGGGGGACAGGATCCCAAATGAAAAATGGGCCAAATTGACAAACATGACATTTCACAGAACAGAACCAAACTGGCCCATAATTATGGGGCGGGGAGGGGGGGGTGGGAAGCATCACAAGTGATCAAAGAAATGCACATTAAAACAAAAGGGTAAAAGAATTTATTGATGAACAGACTGGCAAAAATGAAAAACAATTAAAATATCAAGAGTTATCTGGCTATGGGGAACCAGGCATTCCCACACAACGCTGGTTAAGTGTGTAAATTAGCACAATCCTTCTAGAAGGCAATCCAGAAATGTGTTTACCAAACGCCTGCAAAGTTCCTTTGACAGAGTAATTTCACTTCTAGGAATTTCAATGAAGGAAAGAAGACATATGCAGAGACATTCATTTAACGTGGCTTACAAGCACAACAACAGAAATTATAAACAAATTAAATGACTAACAACAAAGGGCTGATTAAATACATTGTGGTTCAACCCTCAATAAAATACTATATAACCATTCAGATATAAGACATGAAGTAGAATATTTATTGATGTGGGAAGACAATCACAGCATATTGTTTTGGAGGAGAAAAAAAGCAATACAACAGTATGATTCCAAGTTACAATGAATATATAATGAAAGACTTCATTTTTGTGCGACCAACAGAATCCATAGGAATCGATAGGAAAGAAAAGTCTGGAAATATATATAAAAATTAATAGTGGTTACCTTTGGATAAGATTACATATTTTCAATATTTTCTTTATGCTTGCCAGTATTTTCTAACTCTACTATTAAGTATTTTTCAGCGATAAGGGATTGGACCACGTGATTTATAAAGTTGCTGCCGACTCTGACATTTGGGGCATCTATGGCTGATGTCCCAAGTGACTTCAAACAACCCATATTTAGTGTGGGCTTACTGTGTGGCTTCTGAAGCCAAAGTCATGGCCCACAGCTATAGCTTTCTGCATTCCTCTCTACCCATACTCACTGCCCAGCTGTCTCAGGGACCACCCTGGCCTCTTCCCCTGTCTGTAATTCACATGCCTAGCCAAGGGCTGAGCAAAGGAACTCAGCATGGTGGCAGGTGCCATGGGGGCACAAAGAAAGAAAAGGCACAACTCTAGTTCCAGACTCCTCTACTGGGCCACAGGACTCACATACAAAAAAGTACTTGGTTGCATAACACAGACTAAGAAAACCAAAAGAAAAAGAAAGCAGGGCAAGCCTGGAAAGGCCTGCTCGAGAAGGCCATGCAGGAATGGGGGGTGAGGGCACTGGAGGCAAGGGGCACAGGCTGGGCAAAGGTGAAGCCAACCCAAAGTCCTCTGGGAGACATGCCCCAAACCTGTCCAAGAAACTTTCACAATCCCTGGTCTGCAGAATTTCTGAACTTTGGCCTCAATGAGTAAAAGTTAAGTCTCCTAAACAGAAGTCCTCGCTCTATCTGACTCTGGATTAGCCACCGAAGACAAGTCTTTCTGATAAAGACAATAAATTACCTTTTTATTCACTTTCCCCACCACTTCCTAGGGGGAGATGGAGGGGAGGGTTAGGGAGGGGCTGGAGGAGGAGGAGTCACCAGAACACCCAGACATCTCACATGCAAGCACTGCTCACCCCCACCACCTCGACCTGGTCTTCTCTTCAGCAACACCAGCCCCATTTGACAGATGGAGGAAAGGAGGCTCAGAGAGTTAAAATGGCTTGCTCTGGGGTCACCCAGCCAGAGAGTGGGGAAGGCGACTCCACTCAGGCCTTCTGACTCCAAGTCCAGTGCTATTTCGAGGTAACACACAGGACCTGGAGTCAGGAGCCCTGGGTGGCTCTGTCACCCACTGGCTGCGTGGTCCTGTACAAAGCCGCTCACCCCTCACAGCCTCTATCCCCAACTGTAAAATGAGGAGGCACGTGATGGCCCGCCCAGGTCCTCTTCCGGCTGGGCTCTATGAACCTTCTAGGGGTGGCTGCAAAGCTCCCCTATCAATTACATTTCCCAAGTTGGGCCGGCAAAGATCACCGGAGGAGCCTCAGCCTGTCACGTGGTTAAATAAAAAAAGCAAACGTCCCAGATTAACTTTCACTGCGCTGCTTCTGCTGACACCTGCTTACCCAATTTTCTAGTTTCCTTGGGTGAAATATCCCTGCAGAGTAAGCCCGCTGGGCGCCTAAGAGGACAAATAGTTAATTATCGGTGAGCCAAAGAACACCAAAGATGGAGTTAAAACCAGGGTCCAGAACGGACAGCTCCTGCTAGGGATCCCTGAACGAGTCTCCAGCTATCTCAGGCCTCCTTCACCCGAGTCTCAGTCCAGAGGTTTGGAGCACCCCCCTCCCGCCCCCAGGCAAGTGGGAGGGCTGAGGACAGAACTTTCCCTGGGGGAACTCGGTCCCACCCGCACCCAGTCCCTCTAGTCCCGGCTGCTGGCCGGGGGTAGAGAGTGGGGGCACAGGGGACGCGGGACGAGAGACGGGCAGCAGGGCGGTGGTGGTGCTGGGACTGGGATCTGCCATTCGAGCAGACGTGGGCGCGGGGCTGGCGACGGCGCCAGGTGACCGCCGCGGGAGCTCCACTGCAGTTTCGTCAGAGGTAAAGGTACGCGCCTGGCGCGCGCGGCGTGTGCACACAAACACACACACCCGCGCGCGCAGACCGCTCATCACACACTACCTCCCCGGCCCGAAGAATGCGCGATCACACGCCACCACCCCTTCGGCCCCCGCCCCGAAACCACCCCAGCACGCCCGCCACCGACCACGAGGCCCCGCGGCTCCCTGACGCATGGTTGTCTGCAGCGAGCGAGGGCCGGCCCTCTCCGGAGCGTAGCGGGCTTCCTCTCGGCGACACCCGCCACGCTGCGCCGTCCCAGCCGCCAGCCGGGAGTCGCCGCCCGAAGCTGAACGTCTCGGCTTGCTGCGTCCCCTCCAAGTCGCGTCTCACGGCTAGGAGTCAGCTTGCAAGCCTCTCCCCGCCCACCCGGTCCCATGACAGCTGCTGCCGCCCAGAGACAGGCAGATTATAACTAGAAGCAAAGTTTCCCTCTCTCTCCTCCCACCGCCCGCCCCCCCTCCGCCTTACCCCTCCCTTCCAGTGTTATGCAAAACGAGCCGGCACCGGCGCTCGGACTCCAGGTACCAAACCAGCCCTCGCGAGCCGCGCCCGGTTCCGCCCGGCGGGCCCTCTCCGCGTCCAGAGGTGCGCCCGCATCCGGGGTCTCCTTCTCGCCTCCGCCGCATCCCCAGCCTCCCGGCCACCCGCAGCCAGACGCCCAGAGAAAAAACCCTAACTATGGGGCCAAACTTTATGCTTGCAACAGGCATGGGGTGGGGAAAACCAAGGAAGGGGTGGGGGACGCGCACGCCTAGTGCGGGCATTTTCGGTGGTGGCTTGTCCCAAGAGCAGCCCCCCCACCTCGTCTCTAAGACATCAGCGCCCTCGCAAACACACACACACACACACCCGCCCCGGCACACCAAAGCACCCTCTCCTGTCACGCGCGTGTCGCCGGTGGGGCTCCCAGGCGCAGCCAGAGCCCGGGACGCCGCCTCGCGTTCCCTTCCCCCAGCATCGCCGAGCGCGCACCGGGGCCGCGCGCCGCAGGGGGACCCAGGCGCCCCCAGACAGTCTTTCCACCCCCATCCTGCCATGCTTTCCTCCCGGGGGGCTCAGCCGGTAGCGAAACCAGGAAGGTGCTATCTCTGCCGGCATGTGCACGTGCCCCGCAGCCCCCTAAGCCCTTAGCCGGCAACTGGCAGGAAACTCCGCGCTGCGGGCGCCGACGGGGAGCCGCGGGAGGCCAGCAGCACCACGAGGGTACGGGAGACCCGAGGACCAGGGCACTCCGGGGACGGGGACAGGCGCCTGAGCCCGGGCCCCAAGTCCACGTGAAAGTACGGCACCAAGTGCCGGGAGTCTGAGGGCGCGCCTCCGGCACCCAGGGCCAGCCTCAGGGTCCCCCACACCTTGGCGCTGCTCCACCTCCCCAAGGAAACGCGGTACCCCCCACCTCTGCTGGCGGGGGGAGCGGACTCCAAGCGAGCGAGGCTAGACCCTCCCCGGCGGCCGTATAGGCCCCCACGCTCCGGCTTGCGCGGTGCGGGGGGGTGGGGTGGGGGGGCTCCGACTCCCTGGCTCTGTAACAGAGCATCGCAGGGCGCATGGAAGGGGGGCTCTGCAGCGGGCACCCCCGTTACCCCAATGCGCCCACCGCTGCCTCCCGGCCTCCGCGGCTGCGGCGGCAGCCTCCGCAGCTCAGCACCCCTGGCCCCGGGCCCACGGCCCCTGCTGGCCGTACCTGCGTGTCGGCGAGATAGTTGAGGAAGAAGGAGGAGAGCTCTTCGTCCAGCAGCGCGCCGCAGTCGTTCCCCGCCATCTTCCAGCCGCGGCTGCAGCGTGCGGCGGAGTCAGCGCCGAGCCGGCCGGGGGGAGGGAGCGAGGGAGGGAGGGAGGGAGGCGGGAGGAGGGAGCGAGGCCGGCGGGAGGCGGAGGGCGGAGCTCAGGCCCGGGCTGCCGCAGGGCCGCTGGCTGCGGGGGCGGGGCCGCGCGGTGCCCGCGCGAGCCGGGGGTCGCGTCCCCACTTTCCTGCGCCACGTCTGTCTCCACTGTCCTCCCCCGCAGCCCACGGCCGGGAGGAAAGCGCCCGCAGCGGGGTGACGATGCCCCAGACAGCAGCCCGATGCCTGCGCAGCAATGCGGGCAGCCCCCTGCTCCTGCCGGAGCGAATCACGTTGCGTTAGCGCTGGGCGGGTCCTTTGAGACAACCTGCTTCTGCACAGCTGGGGAAACTGAGGCCCGAGAAGGTAGGCTGTGTGTGAAGTCACGGTGCATGTCAGTGGCAGGAAGACAAAGCTCGGGTCTGACTGCCTCAGCGATTCCAGTTTCTCTACCTGAGCTGCAAGCCCAGAGAGGGAGGAACACCATAGGTCAAAGGTGGAGAAATCAGGGAAGGCTCAAAGAGGGGGTGGCCTTTTTTTTTCTTTACCTCGAAGGACGCATTGATCCATATTCTGTTAAGTTTGACCGTCTCCCTCAAGTTTTCCTTCACTCCCCTACCCCCCCCCCCCGCCCCCCACCAAACTTCAGTGACTTCTGTTACCATGGCCCACAATAACTTGAGGTGCCCAAGCTCCTGCCGGCTTCCCCAGGCCCCCTGGCCTCCCAGTTGCTTCGATGAACCATCTCACAACAGGTTTACACGCAGAGTTCTGTCCCCTGCACAGGGCCCATTCACCTAGTAACCACATCTTCAGCGTATCCTTCCCTACTGCCACTCAGACAGTCAACCCATTCCTTCTCTCCCCCCGCCCCCAACCCTGGCTGTCATGGGCTCCCTTATCTCTGCAGGCCTTTCCCTTAAAACACAGGCCACAGCTGCCATTTTACATTTGTTCCCATGAAGATTAGATCTTACTAGACTCTAAGACCCATGAAAGCAGGGACTGAATCTGCTTTGCATTTGCTGTGTCTCCAGTGCCTGGCACATAGTAGGTGATTAATAAATACTGAGCTAACTGTAAAACCCAGAGGATTAGGATTCCCCACCACTGGCACCACACACTGAACAGATAAGAAAACTGCCCAGAGTCAGTGGTGCCAGGACCAGACTCCTGACTGCAACCTTGAACTCTCACCATCATGCCCTCCTGTTTGTTTGCCAGGCAGCAGATGAGGGCACCGCCTGAATAAAAGCATAAAGGCGGGAAGTTTTAGGCCTGTTTCATTGGGCACGCCTGCCTCCTGCTCTCCTCCCCTCTGGCACTCCAGAGGGCTGCCCCACCCGGCCCACCCTGCGTGGGCTCCCTCCCAGCCAGAGGAGGAAACGGGGAGAGTCCTCAGTCCACCTGCTCAGACTTGAACACCAGAGCAAGAACTTCCTTCTTTTCCAGTCTGAGGTTCCCAGAACTGCAGGGCGTGATTTCACTCTTTGGGCTTTAGGCCAGCGGGCTTTTAAGGAACAATGATTCCCAACAGAGAGCCTCCATCTAGCCTTGGACCACTAGCCTGGGAGTCATGCGTCCTGGATCCTGGGCCAGCCCTGCTATATCTTGTCTCCATATTGGGCAACTCAAGAAGTCAAGAGCATGGGCTCCCTGGTCAGACTGCCCAATTTTGATCCTTTGCAAGTCATCTAGTTTCAGGCCTCGATTTCCTCATCTGCATCAGTGAGGATCATAGAATTACTTACTTCATAGAGATGTTATGATGATTGAAGAGGTAATATATGCAAAATGTTTGGCCCAGTGCCTGACCTCACGGAAAAAAGAGCTACACTCTGTTCCTCTGTTTCTTTTTCTATAAAAATGAGGGTAACATGCATGTCCCTTGAAGGAACTGGCCAGTGTTCCTTTCCTTTCTTCCAGCACTCATGGGCTGCGGGCTGCCTTGGACTCCAGTAAGTCCAGATTTGAATCTTGGTGCTCCCTCAAAATGTGTCCGTGGCTATTTGCTTAACCTCTCTGGGGCACAGTTTCTTCCCTGTAAGGTTCCTATGAGGGTGGCCAGAATCTGTGCATGTAAAACAAGTGGCTGGGCCCTGCTGCTGGCGGCTAGGAGAGTTCCTCACCCCTCATCATCATCACCACCATCACCAAGGTCATCACCATTAGCACGATGGGCTTTGCTGCTACTTCCCATGGACCCCAGTCAGAGCCCTGCAGGCCTGTTTCCTGAGATGTCTCTACCAGATCCAGTATGGCCCATGACCACTACTGAGCCCCTTGTCTCTGAGAAGCCAGACCTGGAGAGTCCCCAAGGCCTTGGCCTTGCAGAGCTAACAGTACCAGACAGGGCCTCCCAAGGAAGGCATCAACAGCACTCATCCAGAGCAGCTTTTGTCTTTAAAACTCTGGTGTTGAAGGAACAGCTGCAAATGGACCAGCTTCAGGGATTTCTCACCAATCCCTGTGTCCTCAGAACGGGCTTCTGGCTGGCAAGCAACTCAGGTGAGAAGACGCCCCACCTGAGATAATGTCACTTTCTTTTCAAAAGTATTTCAGGGGCGCCTGCGTAGCTCAGTGGGTTAAAGCTTCTGCCTTCAGCTCAGGTCATAAAATCTTTAAAAAAAAAAAAAAAAAGTATTTCAAAATGCTTTCATCAGAGGCCACCTACAATTTTAGCCTCTTCACCCTCTCTGGTCCACAGAGGAATGTCAAGTTCTTTTTTTTTTTTTTTTTTTAACTTATTTATTTATTTATTTGGCAGAGAGAGATCACAAGTAGGCAGAGAGGCAGGGAAGCCGGCTCCCTGCTGAGCAGAGAGAGCCCGATGCGGGGCTCGATCCCAGGACGCTGGGATTGGGGCTCTATCCTAGGACCCTGGGATCATGACCTGAGCCGAAGGCAGAGGCTCTAACCCACTGAGCCACCCAGGCGCCCCGGAATGTCAAGTTCTTCATTGAATATAGAAGTCCTCCAGAAACCTAAGGAGCTAGGTGTGATCTTGTGCAGTTCCCTTGCCCTCTGTCAGGCTGTTTCCTTTAAGCAAAGGAGGCTGTTTCCCTTTAAATCAAAAGAGCTGAGCTAAATGAACCTCTACTAAGCCCTACAGCCAAAATACAGTGTAGTTTATAGGTATCAACCCGAACCAAGCTTTTCCACACTGCAAGGTGCCTAAGTGTGTATGGTCTCAGCTTGTTTCCAACAGCCCTGAGGAGCCCGCCTTGTCATGTCCAGTTTCCAGCAGAGGAACCTAAAGCTTACGAGGGACTGAAGTGATCGGCCCGAGACCAAGAAGTTAGGGACACAGCTGAGATCTAAACCCAAGCCCGTATCTGGTCCAAGCCACAGACCCTTGAAAGGAATTGAGAAACACCCCACCACCACCACCAGCTAACCACTCCCAAGAAGCTGGTACAGTGGCACATTTCTTATTTTATGACTTCCAAATGAAGGGCAATAATAATGCCAAACTTGGACTTCATGTGGCTCACTCCTATCTGCTCTGCCTTTTTATTGGCCCTGACTCTCCCAAGATAAGTGAAAGTTTGCCTTGCACACACACCAGGCAAAGCTCAGGTTCGTCCAGGCTCCACAGAAATGGCTCCACCAAAATGAACCTTTTTCTCTTGACTATTACGGTCACTACTGACAAATGCACCAAATTAAAAACATCAGCATTTTCTCCCTTCTGATAATAGAAGAATGCTTTATTCTATATGCTATAACCATAGAATGCTATAACCATGTCTCAAATTCTGGAGGGCATGACAGTCACCTGGGCTCTGTTACCAGAGATTACAATACAGTAGACCAGGAATCTTCATTTAAGAGGCTCTTCTAGATGACTTTCCTGCAAGAAACTGCCCATCACTCAACCAATATTTAATGAGCACCTACTATGTGCCAGGCACTGTGCTGGGCACCGTGGATAAATCAGTGAACTTGGTTGTATTCTATTCACGATGAGTGCGTAGTGAATTTTTCTTGAAAGAGCAAGGGAGCTAGGACATGGGTCTTGATAATCACTGAGGTTTCCTGCCAGCCAGCCACCCACAACTCTGTGATTCTTTCTAACAGGGAGTTAGAAACACACCTATTTCCCAGTTTCTGTCCAGGAGGCAGAAACTCGAGCCAACAGGAACTAAAAAGGCACATGCTTTGTATTGTTAATTCGGAGAACCATCTCCACCTTTCACTGAACATAGAACTTTAGAGCTGCAGCAGGGCAGTGGAGAGCGTGTTATCCACCTGCTTCACTGTTCAGGTAGGAGAACATGACCAAGGCCACAGAGCCCTTCAGTGGCAGAGCCGGGACTGGAAGCCAGGGCTGTGGACTGTGTGTCGTGCCCCAGGGGGTTTCTCCTCGGGGTGGCGGGGGGCTTATAAAGACCTCACCCAGATGGTGTCATTCTCAGGTCTCAGAGCTGGGGGTGCGGGTCTTTGGCACTTGAAAATCCATCATAAGCAAGGCATTTCCGGCATTAGTCAATGCCCTCTTCTTCCTGTAGGGGTAGCCTGTGAACACGCCTGTACACTTTGGGGCTACATTTAGCAGACCTCTCTCTCTTTCTTTTTTTTTTTAAAGAGGATTTTTTTTTTAAAGATTTTATTTATTTATTTGAGAGAGAGACAGTTGGAGAGAACATGAGAGGGCAGAAGGTCAGAGGGAGAAGCAGACTCCTCTTGGAGCTGGGAGCCCAATGCGGGACTTGATCCCAGGACTCCAGGATCATGACCTGAGCCAAAAGCCATTGCTTAACCAACTGAGCCACCCGGGAGCCTGGATCTCTCTTTTGTGTGTTATGATGATTAAAGGACTTCCAGGTCAACCAGTGTGGGGCATTAAACAGCCAATGTTTTGTCAGCTACTACTGTCTCTCTCGTGTGCAAAGGCTGTATTTCATTCACCCTCCTCAGTCACCTAAATAGGCACTGAGCATGGGAAAAACAGATCAGGGGAAGGATAGAAAGGTGCTTCCTCCTCATCTGCC